GCGTCTATGGTCGGCCCCCAGGTGAAACCAATAAAGTCGTTTGAACGGGTTTGTGGTTCCGCTGCAGGGTTTGTTGGGGCGAAAGGATGTGGGGAAGGCAGTCTTGCAAATGTGACGTTTGTGGCGTTTAGGTTGGTTGACTGCGAGGAAGTCGAAGAATTGAAGAGGGCCGAAAATGCGAATCCCTTGGAGTACGTCTCGTCCTGGTCATCTTCATGTATCGAATGTGCTGGAAGGTCGTATTCAACTTGTGGTAATTGAATGGTTGGTGGCTTTGATTCTAAGCCAAGTCAGTCGTTTGAAAGGATCATTGTTGAATCAAAAGCGCACTGATATGAAGCGTTCTCCAGGATATCCCAAGAAAGAAATCTTGCGAAGTTATCTCCTCAGTACTCCTTCGACCTAATCGACGATTCGCTGTTTGGAGTAGCCTGTGGTGGGTTAGCTTCCGTACTTGGGGTAGACATATAGTACGAACCCAGATATTAAAGAGATACAGTCTTGGCTGATATTTGCGCCGAAAGGGAAACGTAAGTTTCTCTTGAAGGCGTGTCAGTGGATGACCCAGAGGGTACGTCTTTTCGCTCACCTCATGATTAATGATGAGTTCGTAAGTACCACGGATATCCTTTGCGAAAAATGGAGCGACACCAAATACAAGCTCGTATATGGTCGCTCCTAAACTCCACCAATCCGTCTCTTTGCCGTATCCTCCTTCTCCTTTGGACACAAAGATTTCTTGTTCGCAGTCTAAAGCGACAAGTGCCTCCTCTTGCATGGTAAGGATCTCTGGAGAGATGTAATCACAGGTCCCACAGAGGACTAGGCACGACTCCTTGGGGATGAGTTGAACGCCGTCCTCGTCCGATGGTAGAAGCCTAGCGGAAGAAGCAAAGTCTATGATGCGAAGATGGGCAGTAGCGGTAACAACGAAGTTAGATGGCTTGACGTCCCTGGAATGACTAAGTACATGGAGCCATTGCCGCGAAAGAACTTACCTATGACAAAATCCTTGAGAATGACACCAATGGATTGCAGTAACCATCTGCGGTAGCCACCACTTGAGGTCCTTCTCTGAGATCTGGCCACTACTTTCTAACAAATCTCCTAGGCTACCACACTCGGCCAAGTCCATTACATAGCAAAGGTTGGTTGGAGTTTGGAAGGTACATAGCAAATGAGGGGTCCAGGGACAATTTGCGATCGTCGATGCCAGCAACAGTTCTTTTTCATGATGTGGATAGCATTGCTAATTACGAAAAGTCAGTTCGAAATTTTATTGGGAGAGATCATGGAGACCATACACTTGGATTCCGAGCAACCACACGCTTTTCCACACTCTTGCGAACATATAGTTTGTTGTTCAATCTACATCTTACCATATCTACCTTATATCCTCCAATCAGTATCAATATAATTTTGCAACAGGAAGTTACGCACCGACCCAAATGGGCCATGCGCCAATGCACCGAAATTGGATAGATCTTGACTAGTGAACCGAAGACGATTGATTTCTGACAAAGCCGCTATATTTAATTCGTTAAAATATCCCTTTGAAGAAAAATTGCCCTCTTTTACCTGGGTCATGCCGAGTCTGGAGTTGAGCAAGATAACTATCGAGCGCTTGTCCTTCTTCTTCATCTGTCGGGTTTTGTATTCCAAAGAGTTTCCAAATAGATTGCTTTCGGTCTCTCCAGGATCTTTGTATATTCATGCGGGCACATGCAATGTGGTTGGGATCAGGTGGGAGTCACGTCCATTGCACCTAGCACCAGGCATCTCGCACGAGTCCATTTATTGGATCCATTAATAAAGCACCCAGTAAAATGGGATACAATTCTGAGAATGGAGTCCACATAGACGAGATACAGGCCCTAAACCTACCTTCATTCGCAATATCGCTTGAACATATCTATAACGGAGCCAGGTTTTGTTAAATGAACCACCAATAAAGTTCAGGATGGTAGTATATTTCCCAGCACTAGTGTAGCAAAAGCTCTGATATACATCATACCTCAAGCGGTGAACATTCTCTACACTCCACTAATATCGCACTCGCGCATTAACAATAGTCTTATAAGCAGCACAGCCGCTAAATTTGTAGGAAAACAGAATAAATTTGAAACAAAGAGATATATGACATAAAACATTTAAGGGCCCAAAAGTTCCTTTGAGGCTAAAATCCTTCTTGTTAGGGCAGTGACATTCGCGTCTGCTACAATTACCTCTGGTGCGAAATCAATGTCCAGCACCTGCGAGATGGCGTACGAAATTCGCTTGGCTTGTCGTTCCGACCACAGCCTAAAGTCATCGTCGTGGATGTCATAATGTAAAGGAGTGGAATTACCGGGGGAGGTCGTGTCAGGGGTAGCTGTGCGAATAGACGTATTTGATCCATTCAGCTCTTTTGAGAGAAGCCCGGGAAGTCGTTGAGTAGTAGAAGCTGGAGGCGAGGAGATGGTTTGTGATCTCGGGATGAGAGAAGGATCTGAGTCCAAAGCGAGAATCACAATCTTCAATAACCATTGACGGATAGACCTGAAGTCTAGCCCATCAGGGCGATCCACTACGATTGGGTCAGAAGGATGCTACTATATCTAAAACCATATACTTACGATAGATTTGGACGGGTCCTACCATAGCCACTACGTTGTACTTTCCGTCATGATGATAGCGAAGCTATTCGTGTATGAGAAAGGGTGCTCTTCTAGGGGTCATTACACTCACTTCATATTCCCCGACTTGCCAAGGCAACGTAGAGTTCTTGAAAGCAATCTCACCACACTCTGCTTCTTCGTCTGTCCTGTCGGTCAGAGGGCGAGGCACATCTCCATCCCATTCCTCGTCATGAACCGGTACCCAGAGTCCCAAAGAGGATGTCTTGGTCATAGTTTGGGACTTGTTTGCACCGTACTAGAAAGAGAATTAGATATGAGATACGAGTTTTTAGGAGGCCAAGAAGGTAGACATACTCGATAGATCCCGACCCAGTCTCTTCGAGAATGCTTCAATGGGCTCCTCCATACAACATTGATGGGTTCTCCCCAGTGGAATCGCAATTGACCGTCGGGATTGGTTGGGATAACGTATATATTGTACTTGGTAGAGTCGTAATCGGACAGATCTCGAGCGAGTAATCTATTAATGTGTGGTTAGTCATGAAACGAGAAATAGAATGCAAAAGTTGTTAAGAAGATTTGGTGAGAATTACAGACGTACGGGATGACGAAACGCTCTCGAGATTGCTTGAGCAAGGCCTTGGTTTCTGCCATGACCTCCGAGATAAGAGGTCCAGCTATTGGAGTTGATGAGCAAGTTGACATAAGACAAGGACAAAGATGCGTACATCGTTTCCAAACTTCCTCCACTCTCTCACTGCTCTCATTATACACCTCACCAATCTTCTCGCCGACTT